AGCAGAGGAAAAGACTTGTTAACACATTTGAGGTGAGCAACCTGCATGTATCTTTTTATCCCTCTGCCTTCTCCACTGATCAAGAATAAGGTTGCTTTTCCTTACGGTAGTATCCATTAAAAAGTAGGAAAATTTGGGGGAAAGTTGATAGAAGTAGTAATTAAAATTCAATGAAATTAAATCATCAAATGGGGTTGCAATCCCACTTATCCCAGTTTTTCAAGTGACTGGACACTCCCAATTCTAAGCGAAAATAAAGTTAAACCCACTCAATATATATTCTGCTTATTTTTCTCACTGATCTCCTCCCTATATAAAGATTCTTTACTTAATTTCCTCCCTCTCAGTCTAAACTCCTCAAGTTATTCCCCAAGCTGCCTCATAACTGAAATACACTACGATGCCAATAGTGTTCCTCCCCTCCAAAGGTTAGTCTATTACACCTATCTAAATGGTTAAGTTATTAGTAAAACTTAAGAAAAGGAGCAGTTCCATAAGATGAAGTAATGTGCCTTGTTTGAGCTTTGTACCAATAGCGGGAAATGCAAAGTTGCAGATACATCAGACAAACTCTTTAGAACTGCAAAGTGTCAGCCCAATGTTGGAAACTAGACCAATTCCCGATTCTGTGTTTGGGTTGTAGTGACTGGTGAGAATAGATTGGGAACCAATAACGGATTTACTTAAAATCCATCGATAACACCTCCCTCTCTTTTTTCATTAACAGCATCCTAGTCCTCTAGTAATCTATACTATTAAACAACATGCCAATTGTACTTTATGTCAATTTGTATTCCCATTTCCATCCATACGCTATAACCAATAATTAACCGATCCACCAACGACTTGTTTTAGCCTTGAAAACAAGTGACTGATTCGTCTATTTTGTTGGTGATCAGATCACAATTAAAACAATCATTTTGAACTTATAACCATCAAATTAAAAGCCAAAAACCACAAGAAAATTATAACGAACTCGGCGGCAAGACAGAAATCGGCTAAGTACCTGAGAGTTTGATGAAGATGAACTATCTTCATTAGGCACTGACATTGCTACAACTAATTGCAGATAACTGGCACCTGATTTCAATTTCAACAAAATCACAACATAATAAATTTAAATTTCTTTGATTATATAATCAACAAGATTTAAAATTATAAACTAAAACAAGATAACTCAACATAATAAATTATAAAACTGCAAAACCCTGATAAATAATTGCTACAATCAATTCAGATGTTTAAACTTCTCGAAATCAAAACTTAAAAATACAAAAAATAATTATGAAGATAGCGAGAAATCGACAAACGAATTGAATTTGGATGAAATTTTATGAAGATGATTGAATTTAAATATGTGATGATCAGAGATAAAGTTGGTATATATTAATCAAAGAGAAATTAAAACTTGTTAAAAAAAAGTAGGAGAGAGAAAAACGTCGACTTACTGACGAAGAAGACAAGACGGCAAGCCGGAGAAAAGCCGATTGCGCGGAGGAGCAGGCGTGCGGTCTAGAGTCCTTCCCTGATTCCCTCTGTAGCAGCTTGGCAATACTGCAACTTTTTGCATCAATTGCACGGCCAAAATAACTAAGGGGTCGGGTCGTTTGGTTTGTTACCTTGGAATGGATTTTACGATAAGTAAAAAAGGTATGAATTCTAAATTTCGTATTCGTCTAAACTTGTTTGATTTATTTTTGAAATGTTTTTTACATTTTATTAGATTAGAATAGAGTTATGAATTTTATATCTAGTATTTGTCTAAACTTATCCGATTTATATTAGTTTAGTTCTTGTGCGATGCACGATTTTAAACAAACACATTTAAATATTAACATACTAGTAAAAAAAAAGATTCGGTAGAGACAAAGGGTAAAATATATGAAAGGTTTATTAGATAAAAAAAAATAGAGGTAAATGTTAAAAAAAAAAAACCAAAAAAAAAAAACCAAAAAAAAAAAACCAAAAAAATTTGATGATGTCATCATAGCAAATTAGCAGGAAAAAAAATTCCCGTGAGAATGACATGTGTAGAATTGGGAAAGGGATGATGTCAGCATGTTTTGTTTTAGTATTAGAGCAAGATTGGCCCTAAAGTCTTAAAACTTAAAATGACATCACTTTTTGATAGATCTCACTAAAAATAATATCATTGTAGTAGCTAAAACTCTTTTAATACTCACTCATATTTAGCACTTTAGCCTTAAACTCACTTAAGACTTCTCATACCATATATTATTATAATTTATTTATTTTTATTTTTTACTCTTACTTATAATTAAAAAAAAAAAAGTAGGGTCACACTCAAGTCTTATGTTGAGTCTTGAATTTTCAAAACTCAACTTGAGACTTAACTAAGATTTCTAAAAAAAATAAAAAAGGGATCAAACAAATAGTCTTATTTTAAAACCTAAAATGATGATATCATGTGGAGTCTTAACACTCAGGGCTAATCTTGCTCTTAGTTAATAGATGTCGTCAAAGGAATTTATTATGAATCTTAGGGGGTGAGGTGGGTGTGAGATTATAGGAAATGGGATGGATTTACAAACACTTCCAATGTGAGATTTCATATCTAAAATGCCTAACAAAACAGTAAAATAGATGAAATGGACTCGATCTAATTCCATTCCAAAAGCTCCAATCAAATAAACCCTAAATAATAAGTATGAGAAAGCCTATATCCTTAAGATATATATATTGATTCATATAATTAAAAAGTCATACATTCTTTATTTAATTAATTTACTATTAATGTCTAGTAGTTCAAAAAGCGGCAACACATCATATAATGTACTTTTTTTTTGGAAATTCTATTTAGTAAACTTGAAGTTTTTAAAAATCTTAGCGGTGAATTGCAAATAAACTTATTATCATTAGTAAACTCGAATATTTTTTTACTGAAGATAATAGCTTTTTCAATATAAACTCACTAACCATGGTTAATTCATTTTTTAATAATTAAATTATTTTTTGAAAAAAAAACACAACCTCTCCTCTACCCAGACCATCACTAATGCCATCGCCGGTCTCTTTCTCCTCCTCTGACCGAGCACTATCCTCCCACCAACCATCGCAACCACAACCTTCCTCTCTTTCTCCTCCTTCCACCGCAACCTCCCTTTCCTCTACCCAGATCAAACCCAAACCTACAACCCAACGTTGACGATTTCGAAGGTTAGGAGTTAGGGTTTCAGGACGAAATCGATCCATTTAGAGCCCTTGCTTCTAAAAATCAACGGCGACAGTTTTGAAGGTTGAGGAAAGGGCCGATTAGGGTTCTGATGCTAGGGTAATGGGCGGCTTGGGATTTCGGGGGTGGTTTCTAGGGTTTTCGGGGGGAGAGAGGTGGATTTCGGGGAAGTGAGGTGGTGGTTCAGGGGATGGGGATAAGCGGGCTAGAGCTAGCAAAAGCTGACCTGACTCGAAAACCAGACCCGAACCCGACCCGAAAATAGCAGGTTTGGGTTGAGAGTTTTGACCCGAAAACTTAAATGGGCCGACACGAACCCAACCTGATAATTAAATGGGTTAGGTTAAGGTTGAAATTTTCAACCAGAAAATGATCCACGTAACCCGAATAAAATAATTGGGTGAAAATCAAGTAGGGTCAACCCAAACCCGGCCTGATAACACGAGCACAAATCATGAAAAACTCATTTAAAAAACGTAAGGTAAAGTGTTAGATAAGCACAAGCCCCAAGTCCAAAAATCTTGCCTAATAAAAGGTAAAATCCTAAATAATCTCATTTGGGGTTTTCTACTATTTGGCCGTTGTACTCTAGATTCCATGCATACACTATCTCTCATCTTCTTCTTCTCCGATCTCAAAGTTTCAAGTCTTCAATGGTTTCTACGCCTCTAGTTCCACCTCCTTCAAGGGTTTCATCTTTTTCAATCAATCATCCACCGCTTCCATGCCTCCAAGCCACCGCTTCCCCGCTTCCACGACACCGTTGAAGTTGAAATCTTTAATGATTGTATTATGTCTCCTCCAACATTGCTTTAAAAATAATATTATGAATTTAAAAACATTTGCAGCTTTTGAAATCTTCTTATTCATTGAGTAAATTCAATTTGTAACTATATTATGTCTCCTCCAACATTGCTTTAAAAATAATATTATGAATTTAAAAACATTTGCAGTAAATTGTTGTTTGTCTTAATATTTGAAAAAAAAATGGTTTAATAAAATCAGACTATTAACAAGAATCAGCAATATACCTGATTTGAACCACAATAAAAAAAATCAGGTTAAGCAGGTCATTTTCGGGTTGACCAGAACCGAAAATATCAAGTTCGATCGGGTTGAGATTTTCAACCCGAAAACTTAAATGGATCAGATTTGGGTTGGAGCATAGCTAACCCGAAATCAACTGACCCGAACACGAACCCGACTCGACCTGATCTGTTTGACACCCCTAAGCGCGGCAGGGACGGGGGAGGCCGGTGCACTGGCAATGGAGGGAGCTGAGCGCCGATGTGGATTGGGGTAGGAGAATGGGTGCCAGTGCCAGTGCCAGTGCCGACGCCGACATGGTGGGATGTTGGCGAGGAAGGGGTGACTTTTTTTTAAAACAAATTATTTTTAAAATCACTTAAATGTACCAAAAAAAACCTAATTATAGTTAAATACTTAGTTAAAATTAGTCATTAATGTTATAATTAGCTTAATATGAAAAATTCGAGTTTACTGGTACACGTAAATAGGGGTGAGGATCGAACCCCGATCACACCAAGGGGAGATGGAGGGACTAACCATCCCTCCACTCCTTCATCCTCACAATAATGTACTAATGATGATTAAGAATTTAACATACATATATATCATATATATATCGCAATAGAAAGTCATAAACACAAAACGAGCTATCTTGTGAAAACTTTTATCGGATGTCACGATTGATCTTCAAATCCAATCCGACTCATTACAATTGGTGCATTTGATACAATTATTCTACCATAGTCCACTTTGCAAAAGGTCGGATCAATCTAATTAATCAACTCATCTCTGCAAATTAAAAATAAGTTCAATTCAGTTATATGTCAATCAAATCAACGCAATCAATTACTCTACAATTAAAATTATAAAATTATGATTCATAAGAAATTAGTAACTTACTATAGAAATTCATTTTTGGTGTTTCTCCTGATTCAATGAGCTCAAAGACAACAGGATCACCAGTTTTCAGGCCATGTTCATTGTGAAAATTTCTCCACTTTCCAATATAAGCAACACGACCCTTTCTATAACTCCTTAATGAAACTGTCCATTCTTTCCCTTCTTCATCTTTTAGCACCATTTCATCACAGCTTTTGTTTACTAGATCATTTTCTCTAGCAAACTCATTCGGAAGAGGCTACAAATATGCCAATTGCAATAACATTAGTAAAAAAAGACAGATTGGAAAGGCGATTAGGGAAAACTTGTATATAATGAATGAACGAGTGTATTGTATAGGATGAACATGCTTGATCTTACATACGGAGTACAATATAATCACGAATGGATAGTACGCTTACCATTCCTCCCCATGTCAAGCAGTATGACTTCACAAAGGTTTCGCAATACGGAAATTCCCTAGGTTTAAAGGTAGCTTTTGACGTTGAGTAGACCTTGTCATTTTTGTTCAACTTCAACCCTTCAACTTAGGTAGACAGAAAATAAAAATGCTTAGAAAGCAGAAATAATTCCATTATCATTGTCATCTGTCTTGCCTTGAATAGAGTTGTAACACAAATATTTATTTGTACAAAAGATATTAAAATAGTAAACATATTTAGAAAAGAATAAACTCAAATTGACACCTCTCCTATATATCAGTAAATGCCATAACAATTTGATTACATATAGAGTCATAGACCCCAGAAACTTAAATTTAGGGTAACACGATAACATACTTAGCTAAAAAAAAATTAAAAAAAATAAAATTAAAAAGAAGAAGAAATGCACCAATGAATCAAAATTTTTATTTTTTCAAACCTTTTTCTTGAGTAACTTGAATTAAGCACATGAACAGCCTCTTTCTTTTTAGATACATAGATTATATATCACAATTATTGCTCATAGAATCATAATTAATAAAAATATAACATAGCAAAGATATCAAAAAGAGCCAAAACTAGTACGTTAATCTAGTACTAAAAAGAGTAAAAACTGACCTTTCTCATTTTTGAATAAATCCTTGATTTTAAGATTGTTCAAACTCGAAGATTTGACCTTGTTTGTAGATGGTTGATGAAAATCAGCAGGAAATGGACGCTCACAACAAGTAGGATCAAAGACGAAAACGTCGAAAATCAAGTTTCGATGATGTTGAAACACCAAGAAATCACCTTCTTCCAAACCATGATCCTTACAAAATGTCTCCCATCCATCTTTAAAATGCAACTTTTCATCATAATAACACACTTTAACAAACCAATAATTATTAGATGATTTAACTCTTTGGTTTCTTAACATGGAATGCTTTTCATTAGCCTCCTCTTTATATTCTTCGCCTATATACTTGATAAATGACTTCGGTATCGACTGCCATACATGTAGTGCAACAATATATATAATTAGTCATAATAAGGTACGTGTACTAATCCACAATAAGAATGCGCGTTTTTACTGATTGCTTGATTTACAAAAATATAACTTTAATTAACAAATTTAATTATTAAAAAGTATGTAAATATAAATTCTTTGAGAGAGAATATCTTAAGGGAAAATGACTTACGAAATTGGATTGAAATCCTTGTAGAAGAGGTTGGAAAAAGTGGGGGTTGATTGGAGAGAATGTTTTCATATTAGAGGAATCCTCCATTTTTAGTTTAAGAGTAGTGTGTAAGTTTATCTGGTTCAGATTTCAAGATTTTCTTAAATAGAAAATAAACAGGGTCTTGTAAGTAGTGATTAATGCTCTAGGTAAATCAACAGATGGTACTTTATTATTCTGCCACAACTATGACTTCTACGACTATTGCACTTTCATTATTTTATTTCATTCTATAATTGAAATGGAGAGTCTATACATTGCGCGGGGTCTTTTAGAGTACATGACATATACAAATTTCAGATTAGTTGGTAAAAGAGTTGTATTATATTTTAATTAGTGAGATTAGATGTGGGTTTCCGAGCTAAAGAAATGCATGCATCAACATACATTTGTTGGGAATTAATCTTAACTTAGTTAGAATTTAGTACGCACTAAGGGATATTGAGGTACCCTCACAAGTCACAACAACATTGCAACATTGTATGGTAAAAAGAAAATTAATAAAATTGATGAAACTTAAAATGGTTCCTAAATAGAAGGTTAATTCAATATGTGTCGCACGTCCATGTCTAAATTTGGCTTTGAATTCATTTGTTAAGATTATAACCCAATAATGAGTTGGGACGATCAGTCCCACATTAAAAACAAGAGGGCTTGTGAGTTGAAACTAATTATCTTAGATTGGAAAAGAAGATTTGTGATTATTACAAGTATTAAGATCTATTTTAGTAATTTTACCTATTACTAATTGGTTTTAAGACCAGATTCAAGGGATGGATTTATATGGGGGGTGTTAAATGTCGCTCCCAAATTACTAGGCGTCGCTCGCATTTTTTCCTTGAAATTCTATATTTACCCCTCGTATATAAATACTCAAGACACTTAGACCACATTTCACGCTCGATAAACTTTAAAAATATGAAATTAAAAAAAAAACAGAAAAAATCACAAAAATAACTAATAATACTAATACTAATTATTCAAATTATCACAAAAATAATAATAATCACAATAAAAAATAAATTATCATACAAAAATTACATTAATAAATTTGATTAATTAATTTCAAAAAAATATCATTTTGATTAATTAATCAATAAAAAAAATAAAAAATAAAAAAATTGGACATCTGTCTAAAAAATCAGGATCCTCCATGGTGGTTCCGCCTAAAATTTCCGGATCCACCATGAAGGATCCATATTTTTAGGCGGATGTACGTTTTTCAAAAAATAAAAAAAAAAATTTCGAATGACTTACAAAATCCTCCAACGATGCCTCCGGTGTAGGATCATTTTCGGCGTCCATCGTCCTAAACTTGTCGCTAAAGCTTAATAATATTTTTCTAAGTTGGGCTGGATGTAGTGGGCTCGGGAATATTTTTAACCAAGTTGTGGATCGAAATTTTTTTAACCAAGTTGTTAATCGAATGTGCTCGGGAATAGTATTAAAATGCTCGGGAATCTTTTTAACCAAGTGGTGGAGCTTTACATAGTCCAAATTATGGAAAGGGCAATATGATCCTTTCATATCAAAATGGGAGCGATGTCTGGTAAATTGAAAGCGACGTTTAGCAGTTCACATTTATATGTGGTCAATTTCTTCTCTGATATGGCCAACTCAATAAAAAAATTAAATTAATATCATAGGTTTTGTTAATTATAAGAAAAAAATATGAGTACATAGTTTACTATGGAAATTGCGCGTGCTAAGAGCTCTAATACCTAGGTATATTAAAATTATGTATTCTTAAATAAGTGTTAACTCGTAGAAGTAAATTCATGTATTCAATTCCTTCTCTTGCTTTTCATTGATTCTTATTACGCACAATTTTTTAGATAAACAACATATGTAAATACCAAATTCATTTTTATAACAAGATATTTAGCGAATACTTCGTTCACAAAATGTCGATTGAGCTGATCTAATCGATTAATACATTTTAACATACATACTACAATTTGCAAAATGTAACGTTATTTAAATTGTCTGCATTAAATGATATAGGACTTGAAAAGTCATGCAAAAGGAACTAATTGATCAACTCTTAGCTGCAATTAAATTGTGCTCCATTAATTATCTGCAGACCATCAACTCAATTCAACTCTGCAAAATGCAATAAATTGTTGTAATACATTACGAGTAGCTAGCTTACGTACATAATACAACCCCTCTACCTCAATTATTACTATTATTAGGGGGGAAAAAACTAATATTGCTTGGACAATATTAAATGTTTATATAATCTTTTTAAGTTTTTTTACTCCGTTTTATTTTATAAGATTAATAATACGATATAAATAATCACAATGTTACATGTATGTATGTATTTACGTATATGTAATGCTTAGATATTAAGAGTTGAGTGTCTAACTATAGAAATTCATTTTTGGAAAATCTTTCGAGACAATAAACTCAAAGACGATAGTATCACCAGGTTTTAGGTCATTAGCAACGAGAAACTCGTGTGGCCTTCCAATGTAAAGTAAATACAAAAACCACGCTTATGGTACCTCAATGGAAGTAGCCATTCCTTTCCTTTTTGATCTATAACTGTAATGTTGCGCCATTTATTTGCTAGGTCGTGTTTCCTAGCAAATTCCATGGGAATAGGCTATTGGTCATTAAGCACAAAATTATTTCAGTGTCATTTCACTCATTTGTTTATTATAATCCTTAATTAACATTAGTACTATATGTGTCAAAAAAAAAAAAAACATAGTACTATTTAGGATTCATATATCGAAAACTAACTGAGTACTAAACTTAATTGTTAAAATTTGAAATTTGGTATGGAATAATATTTAGGAAATTTTGTATATTACCACCCACAAAAACCACTTTTTAAAATTACTACCCAAAATAAATTTTATTTTAAGTTGCCACCCATAAAAGACATGAAAATTAGATTTTACCACCAAAACAATTAAATCTAACGTTTTAAAAAAAATTCTTTGATTTTCGTGCCAAAAACATGCTTTTTAGAGGTTTTGGGGGCCATTTTTGTTCAAAGGGTCCGATTTGAAGTCAAATTGAAAAATAATTAACGAAAATGCCTCATTTTGCGTGTGTCACGCAAACCAAGGTATCTTTTAGTACGCAAAACGAGACATTTACAATCATTTTTTGTAAATTTGGACTTCAAATCAAATCCAAAGGGGAAAAATGACCTCAAAAACATCTAAAGAGCATGTTTTTGGCTCAAAAATTGAAGAATTTTTTTTAAAATGTTAAACTTAATGGTTTATTTTAATAGAAAGTGGTAAAATCTAATATTTTTGTCTTTTATGGGTGGTAATTTAAAATAAAATTTTTTTGAGTGGTAATTTCAAAAAGTGGGTTATTTGTGGGTGGTAAAGTACAAATTCCTAATATATGGAAAAAAAACATTGAATTACATTTCACAACATATTTCCTCAGGTTTTTTTAGTTGTCGTGCGTGTTACTCTTTTTTTCACTTTTGTCAATTTAAGACTTCAACATTTAATACTTCATATGTATAATTACCAATTAGAGTAGTAAAATTAGTTGATATTAGGCAAATATGTATTAGGACAAATCAAATAAGTTATAACCAAATAAATCATTTCTTACGTTAAAATCATAGTAAAAGTGGTTAGATCGATGATGGAGTTTGTGTGAATAGTATCGACTAAAAAAACGAAGGAACTAACCTTTCTGAATCTTGCAAGAGCCCTTTTTTGATTGAATGTTTGAGCTAGGAGATCTCACATTTTCTGTAGTTGCATTAGTGACACCAGGATATGGACGTTCGCTATAAGAGGAATCAAAGACGAAAACGTCGAAAACCAAGTTTTGATGATGCTTAAACACTAAGAAATCACCAATTTGTAAACCATGATCCTTACAAAATTTCTCCCATCCATTTTTAAAATTCAACTTATTATCAAAATAACACACTTTTACCATCCATAAATTATCCTCAACTTTATAGTTTCTTAATATAGCAAACTTTTCATCAGCCTCTTCAATGTCTTCTCCTAGATGCTTGTTGAATGACTTCGGAATTGCCTGTGCGCATCCAACATTATAGTTAATTCATACCACGTATAAATGTTACAATTAAACGTTTATCAACAAATATATATAACTTATATTATATGGTTTAAAGGAAAAGAGATTAAGATAGTTACAAGCTAAGAAATTAGATTGACTTACGAAATTAGAATCAAAACCCGGCAAAAGAGGCTGGAAAAAATGGGAGTTGATGTGAGAAAACTTCTTAGAGGAACCCTCCATTTTTAAGACTATAAAGGTTACCTTTGGTTTAAGGGTTTCGTTAAATAGAAAAATTGGGGTCTTGTATAAATGCCTTTTATATTTCCAAAACTACTATCATTGCACTTTCATTGTTTTATCCAAATAATCAAATATAGTCGTGCATTGACTTTGTTAGATTTATTACAATGTCTACTTTTATTGATGTGTATGTAGTGTACAGCATGAAAATAAGTTACTCTCTCTTTTGTGTTGCATGAACTTGGCCATTTTTTAATACTCCCTCCGTCCCTTAAAGATCGCCCCCTTATGGGCAATTTTCACGGGAATTAATAAATATAAATAAGAAATAATAAGAGTACATTGGGAAGACAAATTTATATTAGATATGCAAAAAAGTAGAGAGAGAAAGTAAAGAAGTACATGAAAAAGTTAAATATGCACAAATATTATTGTAAATTGGAGAGAATTTTGGTAAAAAAAAAAAAAAAAATATTACTGGTTGTTGGAAAAGGCAAATGGGGTGAACATTTTGGGACTAAAATTTAGCCAAATAAGACTATCATTAAGGGACGGATGGAGTACGTTAATTAAGAGCTTGTTTTGTTGCACTTATATAAATAAAAAAATATATATAAATATAATTTAAGTAATGAAAAATCCCAAATGCTTAGGTCTATTATTGTTTAATTAACATAAAGTTGTTAAAAATAAAGGAATTTCAACTTTATAGGAGTTTTGAGTATCATGGAAAATTATTTCATTAATTACTTCCTATGTTTTTATATTTTTGCCCCATTTGACTTTTTATGGTCTCCTGATGCATATTAAAATGTAAGTATATCCATTTTCATGTGTAAAAATTATTAAATCTTAGCTTGATATTCATACAATGTATGTACAATAAAACGAATTCAACAAGATCCCACATGAGTATATTACTCCGTATTTTTTATAGCTTTATGTGAATTTATGGTCAAAATTTTTAAAGTTTGACTGGGGCAAAAAAATAAGGGATGGAGGGCCGGGAGTACTATCTAACCTTTCTTTGGTCATTTGCAGTTTACAATGCATGCAATTTTTTTTCTTTCTTTTTTTTTATTTTTTTTAACGAAAAATTTACTTTAAGTAACCAAACATATTTAACAAATTTCTAGAAAATATGTGAAGGATGTCACTTCCTATATACAAATTCTTAAATGGACTTGGTTCACACAAATTTATTGTGGATCACTAACATTAGAGATACTATTATTGTTTTATTAATATTAATAAAAAAAAAAAAAAGGTCACTACATTAAAATAAAGGTTATTATGTTGAAATAAAAGCGATTGTGACATTATAAAAGCTATAAGAGGTTAATTTTTTAGGATGTAAATAGAAATAACATTAAAGGTCACACAAGTTTTAATAAAGATTACTATGTTAAAAAATAAGGATACTATGTTAAAATTACGGTCACTATGTTCCAAATAATGTTAGTTTTACGTGTATATAAATCTCAGGTCCACAATAATATTATTGTAGACCAGACGCAAGAATTTCACATGAAACATAAAGGCAATTTATCTTTTATTGCAACCAAATAAGCACTAAAAACATTCAAAATGTAATATTAACATCAAAATGGATAACTTCTGCAAATGTGAATCTAATGTAAAGTTGTAAACTGACATACACCACTTATATAATTCGGATGTGTGTTCAAGTAAAAGTGTAATACTACTTCCAAAAAAAAAATAAAAATAAAAAAGTATAAGTGTAATAATTCTTACATCTTAAGCGGGAGTTTATAAAATTTATAAGGTAAAAGCTAACGAACATCCTTGGGGTATTGGATAAGCTAACTAAAAGTAGCAATATTAAATTAAAATGAACATTAATTACAACGATTGATGCGTGATTTTGACATGCATTCCCAAATTAATACTACTTTAAGAAATATTTTAAATTTTTATCTGACGCCATGAGGACGTTCGTTAGCAAGATCCAATAAATAAAATTTTCATGAAAATTTTATATTGGTCGTTTGAAATAAGAAGAAGCAGTTTAATTTAATAAACGTAAACCATCACAAATCTAAAAAAGGGTACATACTATTATCAATTATTTCAAGAACAAGAGTAAAGAGCACTGAGTACTACTTGAAATTTCCCATTCACCACATTCAAGTACACGGATCGGACCGTATTTAGCAGAACTTGAAATGTATCATTTCTCCTCTGCAAAAGAAAATTAATATAGTATTAATTACCATTACATTATCTGTCAACCATAAAAGTTAATATACAGAGTATAAATATCCACAAATTTATTCAATATATCAAGTATTGATTTTGCTAAAATGTGTTCGCTCACAACTTGAAACCATCATACTTAATCAAGAAGATTTAGTTTAAGTAAGCCCTGTTCATTTCACCTTTTCAAATAATATTCAATAGAAATAATTGTATTTTAGTCAAAATAAGTTAAGTTTAAATAAATCAGTAAATTAAAAGTCAGTACTCAGTAATTCTAAAAAACAAATATAATTGAGAACCACTAATAAAAGTATTAACCATTAAAAAAAAAAGTTTGGAATAAATAATTAGTTCAATCAATTAAAAAAAAATTTAAGTTTAGCAAAATAATTTAAATTTAGTAAAAACAACCCAAAAAAAATAAAAGTATTAACCATTAAAAAAAAGTTTAGAATAAATAATTAGTTTGATCAATTAAAAAAATTTAAGTTTAGCAAAATAATTTAAATTTAGTAAAAACAATTTTATTTCAATAAAGATAAGATGAAAAGAAAAGGGCTTAGCTTTTAAGGTTAGCACATAACTTAATAACACCAGTTCACGTGTAATTTTATTATAAATTCTTAATTCGATACCAATTTTGGAACTATGTTGAATGCTTATAGCCAGTCGTTCAAGTTTATATCAATAACATCATAGTTGATAAAAATATGCTTACTGATATAGTTTGATATGTCCATGCATGACAATTATAGCATTTACTACCTTCATCCAAATTTAGTTGCCAGGACATTTAATAAGGAGTACTATTATTAGTATTGTACTATCATCAACATAACTACTTCTCCGTCTGTTCGAATAATATTGCAACAATGAGACATTTGCACTATTCATCACACTTATTTAACCATATAATTTGATTTATACGTTAAGCAAAATATAGTCATGTGAGATCTTGTTAGATTCGCCTCATAAAATACTTTCACAATATCAACTTTTTATAATTTTTGCTCTTATACAATTATAGATATTTAACATATAAAATGAGCTTTGGGATGCGTAATTTCATCTTTATTGCAATATTATTGAAACGGAAGAAGTATAAACTTGCAACACCTAAAAGTTTCGTGCTTATCGGTGTACAATTTAAATTATTTATATTTTAGTAATGTTATAATAAAAATATAAAAATTAGAATTTGATAAAATACACATTGAGAACGAATCCAATTCAACAACATCTACGTGACTATATATATTTTTTTCTTATATACAAATCATACTATGTCATATTATGGGAGAGTATGATTTGTCAAAAAAAAAAAATAATAATAATAATAAGGGAGAGTATGAGTAGTGCTAAAATCCCCTATTGTTACAATTAAATAAAGCATATGATGTATAAGATAATTTAAGTTTGAGATTAATTAGATAATAAGATTAGTGCGTGGAATTCAAGTGATCTGAAATTAAACCTTCTTTAAGTTGTGTTTAATACTTTAATTTTGATTTGATCTGGTTTGATCTAACTAAACATTGGCCTTATTAGTACGCTAATTTTCTACAAAAATATACCTATCAAATGAGATACTGCTACTCTGCTAGATTTAATAACTTTAATTTCCAAATATAAAATTTTCCTAACTTTTTTTTTAAAATTAAAGAATAAAAAGTAGTTCGTATATTGTATAACGTTAACCAAACACAATTTTAAAGATGTGATTTGATCTGATCTAGTCTAGTGACTTTAGTCTTGTTTAAACTAATCACTTCTAGAATTTTATTTTATTTTTTATAAAAAAAAATTCGTATTTAATTAAATAAGTTGAACTAACAATGCCTAGATAATCCGTATAAAGAATATAATGTAAAACTTGATAACAGGCCTTTCACCAGAGTGTATGAGTTGAAAAATGACAGCATCGCCAGTGTTGAGGCCATTAGCTTTACGGAAGGCTTTCCAACTACCAATGTAAGGACTACCATTTCCTTTTCTGTAATGTCTTAATAGCATTTTCCAAGGATGCCCTTTCTCGTCAATTAGTTCCATTTCGCACCATCTTTTACTCAAACCATTTTTCTCTGCAAACTCCCTAGGAAGAGGCTGCATGCAAAGATTCAAAGGCCAAAGTCATGGATGGTATATTAATATTTCTTACTACTCCGTACTATCTAGCTAGCTACTTTTATCTTTTTAGTTCCTGAAAGTTTTTTACACTTATTTACTATTTACACATTGAAGATGAACACCTTTAAATGAGGGGGTACGTGCACCTAGAGCTTGTGCAACCAAACCCAGATATAACGAATTGAGTAATGTTAATCATCGAATTGGGTAAAGGTAGTATAGGTTAAATCCTAAGTCCCTAACACATTATAAACCTCTTTGGCTATATATGAATAGAACTATTGTACTTTTGCATTTAATAATGTACTCCTTACATATATATATTTGAGCATTAATACCCTAAGTTTCTTTCACACGATTAATATTAATTAAGATTAAAATAAAGTTGATATAAGTAGTATAATGTAGATAACTAAGATTGCTCCATTCTTCTTACAAACTTAAGAGTCCCACTAGCAAACCAACTTAACCCATGCATGCAATGTACAATTGTTTGCTTAAGTCTTAATATAGGGAAAATTCTATCTACAGAGTTAAAAAAAAAAAAAATAGAGGAAAAAAAGGAAGAAGTATTTACCATCTCGTGTGAACCTGGTCCGTGTGTCACAACAGTACGACAATAAGGATAGCTAGATGGCTTGAAAGTAGAATTCTCTTCTTCTTCTCTCATCTTTATTTCCTCTTTATCTTCCACTTTTAAAATAAAAAAAACAATAAAAAATTATACTTTGTTAGAATTGTATTCGTAACAACAAAATATATAAGCGCAAATCATAAATAAATCACTGACCTTTCAACATTTTCTTGGCAATTCTTGGACTTTTGATCTTGTTAGGGTTGTTTGAAGCTTCGATTTTTGACCTTGACTCTAATAAAATCGGAAGCTCGCGCTCACAAGTAGTAGGATCGAAGATGTAAACATCAAAAATGAATTTTCCTTGATGCCTAAACACCAAGAAATCACCAACCTGAAGATCACATTCTTTGCAAAATTTCTCCCATCCATCTTTGAAATGTGGCCTAATATCACCACTTGATGTTACTAGCTTAACATCCCAACTTCGGCCTTTTTTATCCCTTAATTTAGCGTTTTTTTCATCATTTTTCCCTAGCTTTTTTCCTCCCATGTTTATAATAAATGATTTTGGAATTGACTGCAGAAGTTTATCACATTATAAATTAACATGGTTAGGAAAACATTTTTAACTTATAAAAGCATATTATAAAATCATGCAATTATTTTTGTAATTGTATTTATTCTTGTTAAATTAGTTAGTTGTCAAAGATGCAACTTACAATGATTTTTTTTTTTTTTTTTTTTTTACTACTTTGATCAGAAAATAAAGATTAACTTTAAATTCAAATTTACATACATAAATATAAATTGAATCAATACAATAAAAATTAATCAATGAAGAGTGACACATAAAAAACTTACAAAATTGTAGGGAAAATCAGGAAGGAGGGGTTGGAAAAAATGGGGTTTTTTAGGGCGGTGGAATTTTCTCATGGTGGAGTCTTCCCCCCCCCCCCCCCCCCCCCCCCCCTTTTTTGGCAATATTAAAGAAAACTTCATTGGTTTCTAACTTCTAAATGGTTCAATCTTACTTTATGGAGTAATGTACGGATTAGTTGTACCTTTCTTTAGTTATTTACACAAAGATGAATGTTTATTTTCCACAATTGAACTACTATTGTACTATGTAATAAATTCACCTAGAGTGAGAACTTTCATGGCATGATGATAAATTTCTACTGATTTTCTCAACGAGTAATAGAATTAGATTTAATATTTGTACAATGGATATGCCAACTAAATTAAATCAATTGTAATCCTATAATATTATCAAATCAACATTAATTATATATATAAGTGTAAAGAAAACTTAATCAAGTTGTTCCAGAAAGGTATATATGTTTACATGCACTCGCCTTTGCATAAGTGAGTGTTTGGTTGTCAATTGTTATTTTATTAGATCATTTGATAGGATCATAGTGGCTTGTGAGGAACAAACTTTATAAATATTGGTGGAGTCATTCTTAAAATAGTAGTGTTAAAAGTGTTTTGAAATAGATGAAAAAGAAAAGTTTACATAATTTTGTTTATCTATATGAAGAAAGTAATTAATTAGAATCCAATTTTGAAGGATGATATACCAGACTAAAATGTGTATAAATGTTATACGTTAAGAAAAAAACTCACATGTATAAGTTGAAATTTAGCTTAAAAGTCATTTAGTCATGCAAGCACATTGAAGATGGAAAATGGGGTCGAGTGATAATTTAGTTACTCTAACTATTGTAGGTCATCAATAGATCTAGTCATCACTAATTATTTCGGAGTATATAGTAACCAACTACATTTAAAGAACCCGCTCCATTCAAGTCTCAACCGGAATTAGATCGAAATTAGGTCCAAAATCGAAAACGAATCAAGATCCAATCTAGATTTAAAATACGGTTTTTTCACCATATTCCCCTGAGTTTTTTGTTTATTCACCATATATCTCTGAACTTTTTTAAATTCATCATATCATATACCCCAAGTTTTCACAAAAATACATATATACCTTTGATGACTAATGATTGTTATTTTCGTCAGTCATTAAGGTTAATTATGATACGAAACCACCCTAAATACATTCCCTAACCCTCGAAACCACTCACATTCCTTTTTCCTACCCCCCAAAATCACCCCAAATTTCCTTTTCTCATCCTCAAAATCAATCATATGGATATGATTATGGAGATATATATATGGAGTGGTTTCGAGGGTTGGAGAAAGAAGAGGAGTGGTTTCGGGAATGGGGGGAGAGATCTAATTAAGATGGTCTCGATACATAATTAACCAAATTTCACTCATCTTGTTGTCAATAGGGGTATATGGTGAATTTTTGTAACAACTCAGGGGTATATGGTGAATTAGAAAAATTTCAGGGGTATATGGTGGATAAACAAAAACTTAGGGGTATATATGACGAAAAAACCATTTAAAATACATCAAAAACATGAATTAAGAAATATAACTAAACCTACATATCAAATGATAAAAAGAAAAAGTTGGTCAAATGCTCGAAAAATCTAACAACAGTGTCCTTATGTTAAGATTCACCATGCTAGGTAATACATAAATATGTCTTATTTTTAAAATTACAATAATAAAATTATAAGATTAGTTTTCTAAAAACTTTTTATATATTAATAATTTATTTCTCAAATGATATCAGTTTATACATTTCCTTCGTAGCATCAAGTATATTCTAAATCATATTAACTAATATATAAAGCTAAACTTTTAATCAAGCCATGAGACAGTGACACTTGGCGTTTCTATTGTTCGCCAAGTGTCGCGCCACGTAGGTGACAATTGGATATTAGTATGACACATAAGATTTATTTGAATATATTTTTTTTGTAGAATAGGATAAAAAAATTGGATAAATTTAGATAGATTTGTTAGATAAAAAAGCTATTTTAGAGTTTTATCTTCAATGAAATTTGAATAGATTTTTGTGTAAAAAAAGTTGGATAGATTTTTAAGATAAAACTTTTGGTTTAGATTTTTTTTTTAATAAAGTACCAATATTTCATACGTAGTATGTACAAGTACTGAATCCAAAGTGGCATGATATATAGAGGTACAACCGTACAATTGTATTCCTATTCTCCTCCTGCCAAAAAAGGAAAAAACAAAAACAAACAAAAATAAAAAAGCTAGACATGCTATTATATATAAGTATATAACCGATATCTCAAGTCTTAAAATGCAGAGAAAAAAAAAAATCATAACTTTAGACAATAGTTCTTTTTAGTTGTACATTAGTACTCTTACAACCCTACACATTACACTTCCCAGCTTTCTAAGTATTTGTTTTATTTTCTTATTTTTTTCTTTTTTCTTTTCATAAAACACTAATATGTAAAAACTTTAATATTACTCATAGTACGTAAATAATTTTTTTTTTATTTTTTTTCGAAACATAGTACGTAAATACTTGAACTTAACACTACTATCAAATAAGAGTATCAATTAATTATTTTGCTTCATATACTTCATATTGTTAATTAATACTACGTATTTTATGGTTTCCTAATGTTACCTTAATTTATATAAAAATAAGAGCTTTTGAATCATTAGTTCTAAATTTAGTACTCTCATCTGTAAACTTTCAATTTTCTCCCCTTCAACCCAAAAACTCTATGTTTTACACAATTTTTTGTATGCAGTATGTTGTACCGTGCAGCATGGGTTACTCGAATTACTCGGTCAGGGGTTACTCGAGTTGCTGGGGTTACTCAAGTTACTCGGTCAAAGTTTACTCGAGTTGCTGGGGTTACTCAAGTTACTCGGTCAGGGGTTACTTGAGTTACTCCTGACTGAGTAACCCCTCAAGTAACCCCTGACCTAGTAACCCCTCGACTAATCCATGACCGAGTAACCCTTGTAATACTAACTGAGTAACCTCTAACAATAACTAAGTAACCCCTATCTATAACACTAATAATTGAGTAACCAATATAACACTGACCAAGTAACCCTATAGCACTCACGAAGTAACTCTTATAATAGTAGGTGACACAATTATTTGACTAGCTACATATAAAAGTTTGTGATTAAAATGTTATGAATAGATCTTATTTTAAAGAACTTTTTAAAAAGAATTTGATGATGGAAATAGAATTGAGTTATAGGATATTTATAAAAAGTTATGATTAATTTTGTATGTATGAAATATTAAAATTCTATCGATAATAAAACTCTATACAACAATTTTATCTTAAGAAATCTATCCAAAAATTGCTTATGTAGCATCATATGTGTCACTATAATTCCTATTTATCATCTACGTGGCGCGACAATTGGCGAAAGCCAAGTTTCGCTGTCTCGTGGCCTGGCTGCGAGACCGGCTTTATTTATTAGTGATATGATATGATATTAGATTTTTTTTTTTTTTTTGAAAGCGAGTATATGGTAAAGTTAGCCTCTTTTAGGTAGGCATGTAACTTTGTGTCAAAAAAAAAAAAAAAAAAAAAAAAAAAAAAAAAAAAAAAGGTAGGCATGTAACTTTAACCTAAAATTTAACCAAACAATGATGTGCATGATTTACACGTAATTTTAATATGTGCACAAAATATTATATTCCGTAGTACTAATATTAGAATATACTATTTTCATTACTTTTTAGTTGCAACAAAGAAATTTTTTATATCTGACAAAAAATACCTCTTTGTTGCATCTAAAAAGTAACGGAGGTAGCATAATATGGCACCAGACCCTAGATAGTACACAATGAAACCTTTTTTTTTTTTTTTTTTGGAATAGTACACAATGAAACATAAGTAATATGATACATAGACAATATATATTTTTAATTCATTTAAAAAAAGTGTATTAGAATTGAAATTTTAATTGATTGGGTGTGAAAATACATAATGAATAATGATGCATATCATGATAGTAAACATTTAATTACTCCATAGAATTCTTACAACAATAGCAAAAAATTACACCATCATTCAAAGTTGATCATCAAATAATTTGACCAGCAGCAGGCCAAATACAATGAAATAATAAACAAATTAAATATAACAATAGTTTTTTGTACAAGAAAATTTTTCCTATCATCATATCCGTATATATATATTATTATGTTCTTTTTCATAAACCATATATGCATGGTTGGTCCATCATAGATGTAAAATCAGTGACCAGCACCTCCATCGCTTGGTCCTGAAGCCAATTTTTGGAGCCAAAATGCCAGTTTGCTCTTCGCACTTTCATATACCGTCGAATGATAAACTGATACACCATTGTTGGAGCCATAATCATCCATTATTGGCCTCGCCTCACCTACCGAACAAAGCATTGAGAGTACAAGAAACACCGCCATTGTGATAAACATGGTGATTTTTATTTGCTGAAATTTCATCATTTTTATTCACTTAGTACGTACCTTCACCTTTTAGAATGCTTGATTAATGCTTATTATTGTTGATTATTAAGTTTTTTGTGAAGTTTAAGTATCAAGATAATGTCTATATATATAGTGCCAATTTTGTTTGTGCTTTATTTGAATGCACCTAACTTTTCTTCTAGCTTGACCGAAAGTAAATGAATTTTTAAGGTTTGAAATTGAATTA